GTTCCAGACTCAGGAAGGGCTTTAGAGCTTTGGGGTTTTTGGGGGGTGCGCATCTCAACCCTGCTCAGCCCTAAACCCCTAAACCCCTAAACCTAAAACCCTAGTCCTTCCTTTATTTTGTCCTAGATTGCTTGGGAATTCAACACTTTGCAAATGGACCAGACGTCGGGAAGTATGCAACATGCTTCGCGCCGCGCGACTTTTGTACCGCTGCGCGGAGACCCCACAAAGACTTGGCAAGGACTCCAGTCCCTGCACGCACAGACTCGGCCTTTACGTCCTAAACCCGAAGCAGCAGGACTGTTTCACCTACTCAAACTGGTGCGCGTGTGCTCGATCAAGAGGACTTCCTGGGAGTCTGGAGTTTTGCCAAAGGCATCAGGGCTCAGAGCTTTCAAGGCGTTAGGGCGGTTACTCGAGGCGATGTAGGGTTGAGTGTGGGTTCTGACGATGCCTCGGTGGTCCTTGACTGAGATTCTGGACCCTCGACCCAAAACCTTGAATCCCGAACCCAAAATCCATTCGGGCAAGTGTTCGCTTCCTCTGAGCCCGCGTACTGGGCACCCCAAGTGGCCTAGCAGGTTCGTTCTTCGCGAAGTATGTTGAACACATACTCTCTCTCTCTCTCTTGAACAGCAGTCTTTCCTCTTTTTCTTTCTGAAGACGAAGGTTTGGGGTTGAAGCGTCTTCTCATCTTTTGAAACACATGTATTCCGGGCTCCACAGACACCCAAAACCCTAAATCCAGAGCCCTAAACCCTCCCGGAAGAAGGTGGCGGAGGGGAACTGCCTGGCCCGGTCGAAAGCCCGCATGTGCGCCTTCCCCTTGGCAGGCGGGGTGTGTGCTGCGGTGCCTGCCTGGGATCCTACCAAAAACTCCGAAGAAGTGACAAAGATTTAGGGTTTGGTGTTTGGGGTTTAGGGTTTAATTAGGGTTTAGGGTTTAGGGTTTAGGGCTTAGGGCTTAGGGTTTAGGGTTTAGGGTTTAGGGTTTAGGGTTTAGGGTTTAGGTACTAAGCACCCTACTACGGACCCTAAAGCCCTAAACTCTACTGGCCAAGGAGCGGCCAAAAGCCCACTTTGACCACCCCGGTAAGCGAATTTCCGGGACTCTGCAGCCTGCAGACAGGAGGTGGCTTCGGAGGTTGAGTTTTAGGGTCTGAGGGTTTAGGGTTTAGGGTTTAGGATTTAGGGCTGTAAGTCTGGTCAGAAGACTCGTAACCTTACTGGTATACTCCACTAGACCTGGTTGGGCGGGTTTATGTTTAGGGCCGAGTGCATCAGCCGAAATTATTTCCAATGTCATCCCCTCACAAATCCCCAGCATCGTGATAGCATCACCAAAATACATCAAAACACACATCCCAACTGTTCCAGGCCCCTTTTGTAGTTTTGTGGGCCCAAACCAGAGTTCAGGGTTTGGGGTTTTTCAGTTTAGGGTTTAGGGTTTAGGGTTTAGGGTTTTCAGTTTAGGGTTTAGGGTTTTCAGTTTAGGGTTTTCAGTTTAGGGTTTAGGGTTTCGGGTGTAGGGTTTGAGGGTGCGGAGGCATACCTGGGCTTGCCGGCAAAGATCCCAGAGTCATCGCGGCCTGGCATGGGTCCGTTCGGCCCAGGTTTGGGTTTGGGGCGGGATTGGGGCGCAGGGTTTAGGCTTTTTGGGGTTTGGGTTTAGGGTCTACAGTAGGGTCTAGAGTTTCGGGTATAGGGTTTGGAGTTTAGGGTTTAGGGTTTAGGGGTTCAGGTTTCAGGGTTTGGGTTTTTTTGGGCTTTGTGTTCTTTTGGGTGTTTTTTTGTGAGGCATTGAGGGCATATGAGGCTGGCTTTTGTGGTTGTGGATGGCCTAGAACGCATGCTTCTCAGCTCACAAACCCCACGCACCTTCCTGCATATGCATCTAACAGCCAGGCTTTGTTGCCCAGGAAAGGGGGCTTAGTAGCACGCCGGGTGGCGTCGGTTTCAGAGTACAGGAACCAAGTTCCCCTAAGCCCGAAACCCTAAAGCACGGTTGACAAATACGCGTATTTGAGACAAGCAGGTCCTAAAGCAGGGGCCCGAACTTAGACATCTTCCCATCCTGGGCTTACCGGGCCCCTGTCCAGGAACTTCAATGTCAAGTCATATGACTGTGTCATGTGAACTTTGTTTATGTTCCTGGCAAGAGCCCGGTTGCAGGCTTTAGGCTTTGTAGGGTTAGGGTTTAGGGTGTTTGAAAGCAGTCCTCGAAGTCCAAAGTACCTGGGGAGATACTCTTGTCAAACATGTTATACCTCGAACCCTAAACCCTGCACCCTAAACCCTAAACGACCCTAAACCCTAAACCCTAAACCCTAAACCCTAAACCCTAAACCCTAATCCCTAAACCCTGAACCCTAAACCCCACAGATCTTGAGCCGATGTGTCGTGTCTTAGAGCGCGCGCGCGCGGCGCCGAGGACTCGGCCATCATCAACGGAGACAAGCAGCTTTTCGAGGCTCCTTGCAATCATGTAGGATTTAGGGTTTAGGGTTTCGGGTTCAGGGTTTAGGGTTTAGGGTTTCGGGTTTAGGGTTTGGGGTTTAGGGTCTAGGGGTTAGGGTTTGGGGTTTGGGGTTTAGGGTTCAGGGTTTGGGGTTTAGGGTTGAGGGTTGAGGGTTTAGGGTTTGGGGTTTGGGGTTTCGGGTTTCGGGTTTGGGGTTTAGGGTTTGGGGTTAGGGTTTAGGGTTGAGGGTTTAGGGTTGAGGGTTTAGGGTTTGGGGTTCAGGTTTAAGGTTGGGGTTTAGGGTTTGGGGTTTGGGGTTTAGTTTGGGGTTTAGGGTGGGCGTCGAGCTTGGGCAGAGCTGTCGTCAAGGAACTTTGAAATAAAGAAATTGACGGGCCGGATTGCTTAACTTCTTGAGGTCAAGAAATGATGGAGGGGCCGTTGCAAAAACTAAGCCCTAAACCCTAAACCCTAAACCCTAAACCCTAAACCCTAAACCCTAAACCCTAAACCCTAAACCCCAACCCTAAACCCTAAACAGCCAAAGTTTAGAAAGTTTGGTCCCCAGGATGAGGGCACCCTGGGTTTCTGAGCCTTGCTCTCATTTTTTCGCATTTTTATCCCGGGGCTTTTCAGGGTGCTTGTTTCTTAAGCCAATGATTTCTGAAGCAGTGCTGTCACTGCACATCAACAACAGCTTTTTTGCATTTGTGTATTCACACAACTTCCCTCAACTTCGGGATCTGTTTCATATTGGCAGGAGTTTTCCCGAGATAAGAAGCATTCGGGCCGCGCTGAGACGCCGAGAATCGCCCTAGAATTTATCACATCTCCTCCCCGCCAACCCCACCCCCAAACCCCCAACCCCGAACCCCTAACCCCTAAGCCCTTGCTCCTAAACCCCAAACCCCAAACCCTGAACCCTAAACCCTAAAGCCTCACCCGGATGCAGGCGAAGGTGCTGGGAGACAGAGGCGCGCCCCATCAGGGCAAAGCTTAGGGTTTTAGGGCTTAGGATTTACTGTAGGGTTTAGGGTTTAAGATGATCCTTAAGAAGCCAAGCTGTGGGCCCAAAACCTATTTTTTCCGAGGGCTCCGGAGCAACCCAGTATCTGTTCCGCTTGGAGGCGGCTATGGGAAGTGTTCTTGTTGAGGAGCATGAATTTTACCGGAAGAAGGCTACGGAATATGGCTTCTTCCTGGCCTTCTGATGGTCACTTCATTTAAGCGTCTTAACAAGACCCCAACGTTTCATGGCAAGGTTCGTCCTCGCACCCTAAGCCCTAAACCCTAAACCCTAAACCCTAAACCCTAAACCCTAAACCCCAAACCCTAAACGCTAAGCCCTAAACCCTAAACCCTAGACCCTAAACCCTAGACCCTAAACCCTAAACCCTAACCCTGCAGCCTCGGAGCCCAGAAGCCCACACGCTTTGGGGTCGTTGAAGATCGCAGGCGGATCCGTGTGGATCGTCGAGTACTATGCAGAGCCTCGGGCGTGGTAAATCTTGGAGGGTTCCTAAACCCTAAACCCGAAACCCTAAACCCTAAACCCTAAACCCTAAACCCTAAACCCTAAACCCCAAACCCCAAACCCCAAACCCCAAACCCTAAACCCTAAACCCTAAACCCTAACCCTAAACCCTAAGCCGGAGAAAGGGCACGGCAGCATCAGCCACGGGGAGCTGGTGCCCGGAAGGGTCGTTTCGTGGACTGGGGAACCCCAAAACCCTAGACCCTAAACCCTATAGCCCAAACCCTAAGCCCTAAGCCCTAAGCCCTAAACCCTAAACCCCAAATCCTCTTGAAAGGCACTTTAGGATGCACGGTGTTGGTTGCCAGAAGCTCTTAGGCTCTCAGGGCAGCAGCTGGTTTTGGTTGCACTTGTGCATCCTGGGGTTTGCAGTCCAGGGCTTAGGGTTTAGGGTTGAGGGTTGAGGGTTGAGGGTTGAGGGTTGAGGGTTCGGGGCTGAGGGTTGAGGGTTTAGGGTTTAGGGTTTCCCGACTTATGCTTGGGTTCGCTATAAGGTACATGCTTCTTACGCCCCTCGATAGGGTTGGTTTTGGCTGGGTGGTCATTTGCGAATGCTGCTCTTTCTGTGTTTGCCTTACTAGTCCTGAGTTCGCCTTCTTTAGCTTCAAAGGATTATATGGGGTACCTCATTCCCACATTCCCGACTTGGAAGTAGTAAGTGTCGCTGTTGGTTTCTACGATGAAGCTGACAAACGTGGTGGAGTTTAGGGGTTGGGGTTTTGGGTGTGTGGCCACTGTGGACGATGTCGGTCCGCATCTCTGTGGTCATGCTGAGTGGGCGAGCAGCGGACATAACTTTGACTACGGAGGGCTGCTGTCGAGAGCTACATCAAATGGCCGAGCAGGAGTTGCAAGCACGAGGTGTGTTGCTGGATGTGTCAGGAAAACCAGTTAACGCCGAGGCAACGATCGGAGAAGCGGGGCTGAAGACAGGAGACATGTTGACTTTGCAAGTGTGGCCAATCCGAATTGCAGCCCAGCAAGACTCCTTTGCTGCCATTTTGGGTCATGGATCCGTTGTGTCTTGGGGGACATCCGCAGCTCCCACACCGTGCCGAGTCGGGTGCTGCGATTCTGACAGATGGGTCCATTGTGAGCTGGGGCCACGAGAAGGATTCAACCGCCGGCGACAGTAGCGCCCTTCAGGACCAACTTGGGAGCGTGCAACATGTCCAAGCCACTAACTGCGCATACGCCGCCATCCTGGCCGACGGATCCGTGGTAACTTGGGGCCAGAACCGTTTCGGAGGCAACAGCAGCGCGGTGCAGGCCAAGCTTAGGAATGTGCGACACATCCAGGCCGGACATGCGAGTTTTGCCGCCACGTTGGCCTACGGATCCGTTGTGACTTGGGGCCTTGATTGCGCTGTTGGTGACGCGCTGGCGTTGTGGAGAGACGTGAGGTTCAGGCCACAGCGAGGGCCTTTGCAGCCGGGCTGATGGTTCCGTAGCGACCTGGGGACACCCGCACTTCGGTGGGAGCAGCAGCACCGTCCAGGAGCAGCTCAAACAGTTTATTCAGGCCACGGAGCGGGCCTTCGCAGCCATCCTGGGCGGACGGACGTGTCGTGACCTGGGGAAATCCCAGATTTGGAGGCAACAGCAGTCAGGTCCAGCACCAGCTCCGAGGCGTGCAGCGCATCCAGGCGGCCCAGGCCGCGTTTGCCGCCATCCCGGCCGATGGATCGGTGATCGCTTGGGGCGATGTAGAGCTTGGCAGGGACAGCTCTGGCGTCCAAGACCAACTCAGGGATGTGCAGCACATCCAGGCTTCGGGCGCTGCGTTTGCTGCCATTCGGCCCAAGATGGAGATGTGGTGACTTGGGGTAGGCGGCAGGCTGGCGGAAGCAGTGCGGCTGTGCAAGACCGCCTCAGGCATGTGCAGTGCATCCAGGCCACCTCACGCGCTTTCGCGGCCCTCCTGGGCGACGGGTTCCGTGGTCACCTGGGGCTCCCCCGGCTTCGGGGGCGACAGCAGTGGCGTCCAAGACCAACTCAGGGATGTGCGGCACATCCAGGCCACCAGCGCGGCATTTGCGGCCATCCTGGGCACCGGGGCCATCGTGACCTGGGGTAATCCCGGCTCTGGGGGCGACAGCCGTGGGATCCAGGACCAGCTTCGGGATCCAGCTGCAGAAGCGAAACTCTCCAACTTGCCGGTCTATTAGTAGAAGTAAGGGCTTCGGTGCTAAGGACTTGGGGGTTCGCCGAATGTTTCGGGTTCGGCACCTTAGGGCTTTGAAATTGAGGGGCTGAGGGGTAAGAAGGTTCAGGGTTTGGAGTGAAGCTCTGATGAGGGCGTCGGGTTCGAGGGGCTTGGGGTTCACTGTCGTGCGTGACGGTTCTCTTCTCGAAAAGGCTTCCTCGCCACCGTTGGCCAAATAAAGATGTCAAGAGGTAAATATGAACATGGATGAATATGGAGACATGGTATCTACACACGCAAGCATATAAGTATCTGTTGCAAACGGTTGAACCTTAAACCCTCAACCCTAACCCTAAACCCTAAACCCTAAATCCTGAATGCAGGCACTAGGGTTGTCTATAAGAATTAGGGCTAGTTGCAGGGTCCACTCACCCGCACCCCGGCTTTAAGCACAGGGGAGTCTGGGAGTTCTGTTTAGGGTTGAGGGTTTAGGGTTTAGGGTTTAGGGTTTACGCCCACACTCCGAAGCCCTTAGGGTTGAAGGGTTTAGGGGTTTAGGGGTTTATGGGGTTTAGGGCTTTAGGGGTTTAGGGGTTTAGGGCTTTAGGGGTTTAGGGGTTTAGGGCTTTAGGCGTTCAGGGTCTAGGGGTTTGAGTCTAGGGTTTTGGGGTGCATGGGTTTAGGGGTTTTGGGGTGCACCGGGTTTAGGCCGTCAGACCGAAAACCCTAAACCCTATCTTAACGCACCCACACGCAGAAAGCTTCAGCCACGAAAGGATTGGTGCCCACACTGCCAGGCCAGAGATGGAGCTTCGCGTTCGGAGTTTCAGGGTTTAGAGCTTCACTCTTCACTAGGGTTGGGGTCTGGCGTTTCAGTTCGGGTTAAGCCCAAACCTCCGAACCCCAAACCTCCAAAACGCCTAAACCCATAAACTCCGCAGGGTTATACAACCGGAAAAGAGGAGCATCCCTTCACAGGACGCTCAGCACCTAAAGTGAGGGCCAGTGTTTCATGCACCAGAGAAGGGTTCTAAACCCCTAAGCCCTTAACCTTAAGCTTTCGGCCCTAAATGCGAACCCCTAAACCCTAAACCCTAAACCCTAAACCCTAAACCCTAAACCCTAAACCCTAAACCCTAAACCCTAAACCCTAAACCCTAAACCCTAAACCCGAAACCCTCGCCCTGTAGAGAGGCCTTCGGTCCCAAGTGGCAGCGCCTCGCCGTGGCTCTGCGCGAGGCGAATTCCAAGCTGCGCCTGGTGAGTCGCCTGTGTGGCACAAGTTTAGGGTTTAGGGTTTAGGGTTGCAGGGTTGAGGGCTTTTCGGGTCGAGGATTTTCAGGTTTAGGGTCGAGGGTTTAGGGGTTCCTGAGAGGGTGTAAGGTTGAGGGATGAGGGCTTTGAGGGTTGAGGGTTCAGGGTTGAGGGTTTAGGGTTTAGGGGTTCCTGAAGACTTTGGCTTCGGGCATTTGTTAGGGCTTTTTGGCATGCGGGCCAGGGCGAAGAGTGTAGCCGTTTCGTGTGTAAGGGGCTTAGATTTTGGAGTCTTGGGACGCCGTCTTGATCATATCTCTGCCACTAACCCTAAACCCTAAACCCTAAACCCTAAACCCTAAAGCCTAAACCCTAAACCCTAAACCCTAAGGAATCCGAGCCCGAAGCCCCCGAAGCTCTTAAAGTTTAGGGTGAGACGCTCTCTCCAAGGAAGCTCCCCAGCCCAGGCGTCAACTGTGAGGTGCACAGCAGCCTGTGCATGGAACGCAACGCCCGCGCCCTACTTGGGGCAAGTTGAAAGGGTCGAGGGTTCAGGGTTCAGGGTTCAGGGTTCAGGGTTTAGGGTTTAGGGTTTAGGGTTTAGGGTTTAGGGCTTAGGGTTTAGGGTTTAGGGTTTAGGGTTTAGGGTTTAGGGTTTAGGGTTTAAGGTTGCCTTCACTGGCCTGTAGTTCTCCCCCCCCTCCCTGAACCTTCAACCCCTTCAACCTTAAACCCTGAACCCCTGAACTTGAAGCCCCTGCGCCTTGTAGTCCTACACCTGGTGATTTTTCTAGGTATCCAGACCTGCGTCCGACCCACCATGAGCTCGAAAGTGTTGGGGGGGTGAGGGGGGAGAAGCAGGGGCCTGAGCCTCTTGGCCTTTTTCTTAGGGTGGGTTTAGGGCTTAGTTTAGGGTTTCGGGTTTAGGGTTTCGGGTTTAGGGTTGCCGAAACACGGACTTTATGACCTACTGCTCGCTAGGGGTACTTGCCAACTGACAGAAGTTGCTAGTCCGCAGGAGGTGGAGCTACCTCTGAACCCCAAACCCCAAACCCCAAACCCCAAACCCCAAACCCCAAACCCCAAACCCCAAACCCCAAACCCCAAACCCCAAACCCCAAACCCTAAACCCTAATTAAGCCCTAAACCCTAAGCCCTAAGCCCTAAGCCCTGAGCCCTGAGCCCTGAGCCCTGAGCCCTGAGCCTTGAGCCCCAAAGCCGAAAATCCACACTGAAAGTCCCCACTGGAGCCCCCAAAAGCCCTTAAAGCGCCGTAAGCGCCCCTTAAACCCTAAACCCTAAACCCTAAAGCCTAAACCCTAAACCCTAAACCCTAAACCCTAAACCCTAAACGGCTAAACCCCCGGAACCCCCCTCAACCCCCCTAAACGCCACGTAAAAACCCTAAACCTCGAGAGCTTGCAGAGTCTTTTTTGAATCCAGGGCCCCTGGTTCTGGGGCCTTGAGATCGGGGTTGGAGGGCTTTGGGGAGCACTTCGACTGGAGGGTTCTTAAAAAGGTAGGGTTTAGGGTTTAGGGTTTAGGGTTTAGGGTTTAGGGTTTAGGGTTTAGGGTTTAGGGTTTAGGGTTTAGAGTTTCGGGATTGGGGTGTTGGTGAGCGCACCAGGTCCGCGGCTACCCCACCATGGAGTGGTTCTACAACGGGGATGACTTGACCATCAGGTGGGTCCCTAAACCCTAAACCCTCAACCCCCAAACCCCAAACCCTAAAGCCTCAACCCTAAACCCTAAACCCTTAACTAACCCTCAACCCTAAACCCTAAACCCTAAACCCTAAAGGCTTGGACTCCTTCCAGTGGTGCCCCTTTGTCTCGACTGCCTTAGAGGCTCCGGCAGAGAGGTTCCGCGGACCGCCGTGAACCCTAAACCCTATAAACCCTAAACCCTAAACCCTAAACCCTAAACCCTAAACCCTAAACCCTATATACCCTAAACCCTATATACCCTAAACCCTATATACCCTAAACCGTATATAACATAAACCCTAAAGGCTTATTGGAGACCCTAGTCTTCGCTAAGGTCTTGAGCACGGGGAGCAGGAATTCGGTTGCAGGGCTTGGGGCCTCTCGGGTTCTAAGGGACCCACCGAATCCGAGAGCGTCGTTGAGTTTAACAGTCCCACAGCCCAACAGCTTCATTAGCAGTGTAGCCAGCTTGGGCATTAGACAAATGTTCGGACAGCTGTTCTTCTTTGAAGGGGGGGGGCCTAAGCCCTAAGCCCTAAACCCTAAACCCTATATACCCTAAACCCTAAATAAACCCTAAACCCTAAACCCTAAACCCTAAACCCTAAACCCTAAACCCTAAACCCTAAACCCTAAACCCTAAACCCTAAACCCTAAACCTAAACCCTAAAGAATCGGGAGCTCACGGAGGTCGAACCTGTCTACATTTTATACGAAGACGGCGCACATGAAGATGGAGCAACGGCCTCGCAGCAGCATCTTTCGAATTAAGGCCTCAAGTGTGGACCTGGTGAAGCCTTGCTTTTTCAAAACCCCTCACAGCCCGCCTAAAATCCTTAAACCCTAACCCCTAGACCCCCAAGCCCCGAAAACCCTGAAACCTTAGGGTTTAGGGTTTAGGGTTTAGGGTTTTAGGGTTTTAGGGTTTTAGGGTTTTGGGGTTTAGGGTTTAGGGTTTAGGGTTTAGGGTTAGGGTTTAAACCCCTCAAGCCCGGAAACCCTAAACACCTGAAAACCCGAGCAGAGAGACGAGTATCCGAGCGCAGGGCTTGTCTTTGCCCTGATTCTTCTGCTTTGAGCCGACTCCTGGGTAGGTCCTTGGGATCTATGTATAATACATAGCTTTTGGTTGATTCTTGCAGTGTCTCGCGCGGAACTAGCAAGGCATATGCCTGGAATATCATTGCCCAAAATAGCTCGGCCATTTTTGGCTCCAAGGTCTTTGTGGAGACCTCAGCTTGGGATCTGTAGATCTGCAATCAACCCCGTTGTGCTTGTTTTGCTTTCGCTAAGCTAAGCTGAACTTGGAGCCAACGTTCGTGCGGACGAAGACGCGGGCTGCGGCTAACAAAGTATGGTTGTTTTGGCGCCCGACGACAATCTGGACGAAACGGTGACCCAGAAGTTGAAGGAGATATGGACGCGCTAGAGAAGCCAAATAACCAAGGACCCGGACTCTGAGACAATTGCTATGAAGGTTGACGATGAGGTGGTCAAGATGGAGGAAGGCGCCGTTGAGCCGACCGGAGACACAGGTGCCGTCGGCCCTCAGTTGACGGAAGGTGAAATGGAGCATGCCGCCTTTGACACCTCCATGGACGTGGGCCATTTTGTGGCCCCCGACGCATGAGGGAGGACCATCCCCTCGACCTGAATGCAGGTGCCGTCGGCCCTGACAGAAGCCTATTTTGGAACAGTGACGGCGTAGGACCTTCGATGGAAAGGCAGCCCTGCTTAGCCACTGTGCAAAGAAAGAGTGAGCTTTGCTGTGTACTGCCGGTTGTTGTTGCTTTGTGCATGCAGGATTTGTGCCATTTCGGTGATGTACCTGACATGATAGACTAAGCAGTATTGTATCTATGCACGCACATGCTCTCTCTCTTTCTCTCCACATATATATATATATATATATATGTGTGTGTATATATATATATATAAACATATGTATGTATGATGTATGTATGTATCTATGTATGTATGTATGCATGCATGCATGTATGTATGTACGTGTGTATGTATGTCTGCCTGTCTGTCTGTCTGTATGTATGTATGTATGTACGTATATGCCAGAGCTCCGCCCTCCCAAGGCAGGCGATGATTCGTGCCGTGATGGCGCAAATCCAAGGGCTGCCTGCCAGCATGCTTGCAAATCCTCAAGCCCTAGCCCAAGACCGTAAAGCCCTACAGCCCTAAAACCTAAAACCCCAACATCCGAAACCCTAAGCCCTAGAGATTGCTTTTGCAACTCAGATGAGCGGACCCCTGGTTTGAGGGTGTAGGATTTAGGGTGCAACTCAGATGAGCGGACCCCTGGTTTGAGGGTATAGGATTTAGGGTTTAAGGGTTGTTATAAGTAGGGCTCAAAGCAACGGGTGTCCCAAAATTCGTTGTATGTTATTTTCATTATTTATGGGTTTTTGTTTGTTGGGTGGGAGGGGGGGGGGGGCTCCTGTAAAAAATGGGTTCTTCCGCTCTATGTGGGACAAAAAGGGGGGTCACCCTCCGTTTTAGGAAGCACACGCTTGGCTATTGCTAGCAGCTACCTACAGTTGAAGTACTTCAGGTTTAGGGTTTAGGGTCATACCGTTCAATTCGAGTACCACAGATCGCGTCGCATGCCAGTTTAAAGATGCTTTCAAGACCCAGGCAGGATTCGTCCATTACCGAGGAGCAAGTTGAGCGAATGCTCATCATGAGCCTTAGTCTGCAATATCCCAAGACCCTGAAGCCCAAGCCCCAAACTACGGTTCCCGGGTTAGGGGTTTCGGGGTTTAGGGTTTAAGGATTCAGGGGGGCCGCAGGGCTTCATGGATAGTTCGATGTGGTGTTAGAAGTACCCCAGCCATTTGAGCTTATAGCAAGTTGCAGTTGACACTACCCACGAACCTCCTAGTAGGGTTGTTTAGGGTTTAGGGTTTAGGGATAAGGGTGCCGCTGGGATGCGCAGGGCAGATGTTTGCAGCTGTGCCTCTTCATGGAGCTGTTGCGTTTGGAGGACCCCTAAACCCTGCTCGAGATGTCCCCCCTGAGTAGGAGCTGCTTCTTGGGGGAGTTGGAGATAGAAGTGCAGCCCTAAGCCCTCAGGAGTTTGGGACGATGCTTGGGTGGGTGTTCCGTAGCTGTGCCGGAGTGAACGGTTCGTGGCGCTTCACAGGAACAAGTGAACACATGGACACACGTTAAACCATAAACGTTCAACCCTATAAAACCTAAAACCTAAACCCTGGACCCTAAACCTGCCCGAAATACACCCTAGTCCGAAGCCAAGTTTCCCCTTTTTCACAACAAGGGAATGCCCAAACCTAGTGCTTCGACTCCCTAAAACCGAAACCCCAAACGCAAACCCTAAACCTTGAACCCGAAACCCTAAACCCTAAACCCTAAACCCTAAACCCTGAACCCTGAACCCTGAACCCTGAACCCTAAACTCTACACCACATCCGAGGCGTGGCTATATCGAGGCAGAGCTTCCATCAACGTTCCTCCCAGATTCTTGGGCAAGGAGTTGCGTGAGCTGAGATTTTTAGCGGTTTAGTTTTTAGGGTTTAGGGTTTAGGGTTTAGGAGAACTTAAGCTCATAAACTTTGAGCGCATGCTCGGCTCGCACTGCCTGCGCATACAGCACGCTGCCTTGATTCAGACTTGCAGCTGCCACCGCAGCTCACACCCTGCGCCGGCGCACAACGGTCATCAAGCTTACATACCCATCTTGCATCTCACGGGGTAAGTGCTTCATTGCACTTGTGCTCGTCATGCTAGGTAGTTGTGAGCCTGAGCCTGTATTAAACTGCGGTTGATGGCCAGTGCGGGCATTAGGGTTTAGGGTTGAGGGTTTAGGGCTGAGGCCAAACCCCTCCCTGCCCTCCCCCCCGCCCTGCCCCCCCCTCCCCCCTCCCCTCCCTCCCCTCCCCCTTCCCCTCCCCCCTCCCCTCCCCCCTCCCCTCCCCCCCTCCCCTCCCCCCTCGGCCCCCCTCCCCCCCCTTCCCCCCGCCCTTCCTTGATGAGAGTGACCTTTGGCTTCATGGTTTAAGGAGTCCTCATTTCTTCGATTTCTGGTACTTGGTTGTTGGTGCGAGGCGGGCTCCGCCCAAGTGCAAGTTTAGGCTTTATGGCTCTTGGCAGCGGAAATAGGCATTGGCAGCATTGGGTGCTTGGGGAATCGCTGCAAGGGCTTCTGACCCGCTACATCTTTCATACTCAGGGCCAGTCTAAACCCTAAACCCTAAACCCTAAACCCTAAACCCTAAACCCTAAACCCTAAACCCTAAACCCTAAACCCTAAACCCTAAACCCTAAACCCTAAACCCTAAACCCTAAACCCTAAACCCTAAACCCTAAACCCGAAACCCGAAACCCGAAACCCGAAACCCTAAACCCTAAACCCTAAACCCTACCCTAAACCCTAAACTCCTAAACCCCTAAACCGAACTGAAATTTCCTCGGCCGGAGCACTTAGGACAGCGCGGGGCCCATCTCGGCCAATCTGCCACACACCGAAAACAACGCCGAACTGCTGGACTTCTGCAGCTTCCTAGCTGCACACGTGAGGCTAGGTGAAGGTTTAGCCTAGGATGATATATGGAGTTTACGATATTAGGGGTATCTTATTCAAAAGAGAATGGATCCTTCTAGTTGGGGGTCTATATTTCGGGGTCCCTTATGATCGTAAGCCCCCATATGCATTCTTGGTAGCCCAGTGGTACCCTTTACCCTTTTGTTGGTTCTGGGTTCCCTTATGAAGTAACCAACCAAAAAAAGGGTGCCCTCAGTACAACATGGTTACTGGGCTACTAAGCATTTATACATCAACATGGGAGGACGACCGTGGCCAATGCCATGACCACTACCTACACCTACTGCCTCTGCTGCTACTACCACTGCCGCTTCTGCCACTACCACTGCTGCCACTGCCACTGCCACCACTACTACTACTAGGGTGACAACGACGTTAACGGCTTCTGCGAGTATTTACCACTAGCGCCACTACATATTTTACGAATACTCAAAGTGCACGTGTCTGCATATGCTTTGTACTGGCGTTATAGCAGGGAACCGAACCCGAACTTTAGAGACCCTTTCAAGTAAACGAGGAACAGAAAGAAAACTGAGGGGATTTGGGGAACCCATGTACACTGTCATGTGCACCCTAATCCCTAAACTCGGAGCATGGGGGATATGGGTTAGGGTTTAGGCTCCACCACCCCCCCCCCTTGAGCCTCATTCCCGGATACCCACAAATTCGAAACCAGACCCTTGAACCGTAAGCCCTAAACCCTAAGCCCCTAGACCCCTGAAGACCCATACACCCCCTCGGGTTGAGGGTTTAAGGACCCCCGCCCCCCCTCCCACTCCCCCCCCCCCAAAAAAAAAAAGAGGAAAAAAGCAAAAGAAAAAAACAAAAAGAAAAGGAAAACAAAAAAAAAAACAGCGCAGCTCCCAGGATCGCTTCCAAGCAGCCACAGCGCTGAGCCCGTGGCCCTCGAGGATGCACTGTTGGAGTCGGACGACGCAGCTGGGCCTTTGGGGTATTTTGGGGGGTGTGTTGGGGTTTTTTAGGGTTAGAGGGTTGAGGGTTTTGGGTTGTTTTTTTTTTTGGGCTTTTTGTATGGGATGGGGGGGGGGGGGGGGGGGTTAGGGGTCTTTAGGTTTTAGGGGTTTGAGGTTTTTTTGGTTTTTTTGGGGGGTTTTTCCGAGTGTTAGGGTTGTTTAGGGGTTTTCAGGGTTTGGGGGTTCAAGGGTGTTTAGGGTCCTTAGGGTTTAGGGGTTTGAGGGTTTTAGGTTTTGTCGAAGGGGTTTTTAGGGTTTAGGGGTTTGAGGGTTTAGGGCTTTAGGGCTTGGGGGTTTAGGGTTTGGGTTTCGGGGTTCAGGGCCTTCGTTCTATGTCGCGTTTAGGGCGTAAGGGTTTAGGGCTTGAGGGTTGAAGGGTTCTAGGGAATTGTAGGGTTCAAGGATTCAGAAACTTGGCCCTGGAAATCTGGCTTGCCCGCATGCCTTGTGGAGTAGCATGTGCTCATCTGCACCGGGAACATGAGAGCCAGACCTCGTGCCTCAAATCCCCTGAAGCTACTTCTTGGAATCGGAATCGGTCACAGTTGCTGAAATGTAGTTTTCGTAACACCCTGCCCCATACCCCTCCTCCGGAAACATGCAAGCCCCGAAGCCCTCAACCCTAACCCTAAAATTCCTAAAACCCACCGCCCGGACCTCCCAGGGGCCGGCGCTAACCTGCCCACAGCAGCGCAGCGTGCCCGGCGACGTGTTTCCCAACTCCGGTTGGCCACAGGCAGGGCTCAGGGCTTCTGATTTTGGGATTACTGGGTGTTGGAGTACTATGCTTTAGGAACTTTTTTGGTTCTGGGTTCCTATTCTTGTTTCTTATACCTAAAAAGTATATGCCCTTCACCCAAACCTTGGGCCATAAGCCCTAAACTAACAAAGGTCAGGGTTGTAAGTGTTGCAGCTTTAGTTGTAGCCCTACTACTTAGAGCACTTAGAACCCTACTTCTAACTATCCCTGAACCTGCAAACTAAGCCCTGGAAATTCGGGTTAGGTTGATGTGTTGTGGTGTTCGAGGGCTAGGAGCTACATCGGAGGGTCTAGGCTCAGACCCGAAACCCAGACCCCTGTTTACGAACCGCTGTAGACGGTAATAGTCCCACCTACACTTCTGGCAGGATGAATTGCAAGCCACACCCCAGACGCGCTTAGCCGATGCCAGCAGCGTACTCAGAATCTGAGCCTAGAGGTTTCAGGGTTCAGCCGGGTTTCGGGTTAGGGAAAAGGGCTCTTGTGCGAAGAACCATGGGAATCATGAACAAATAGTACGCTCGTTGTCCTTCTTCCCCCCCCCCCCCTCCAACAAAAAAACGCGGTTCTAGTACAGTTCGAAGGTGGTTTTAAACATAGGGTGTGACGCTCTGTATCAGCTGAGTTGCAAGGGCTTTGAAGCCCCCTCATGCTTCGCTACGTAACCCTTCCCGGGATGTGAGGGGGTTCGAGTTCCGAACAACCCCCTCGAGAAACGCGTGCTTATCACAGTGTGCTTTCTCCGTCGGTAAGAGAAGGGGGTTTGGGGTTTAGGGATGAAAGGTTTAGGGTGTAGGTTTTGGGATGTATGGGCTGTTTGGGTTTCGGAGTTAAGGCCCTCAACCCTAATCGCGCGAACCGAAGCATCGAGCAGTATGTTCAGGGTCCAGAGCTTAGGGTAAGCAGCAGCCTTGCACCGACACGCCGTGGGCTGTCTATTGCCCAACGACAGCATCCCAGGCTACATGGTGGCCTACACTTTGAGAAACTGGATAACCCCGAGGCTCTCTCGGAAGACGAAGGGGTGGGAGATAAGAGGTTTAGGGTTGTTTGTTTACATGTCTTGCTGTGGGCTGTAGAGGGGAGGAGGGTGAAAGAGAAGGGATGTTTGCAGGTTTAGGGTTTAGCCTGCATGCCTAGTTTGTCCCTAGGCTGATGAGTTGGGAGCACGAATCCTTGGGACTCCTTCAGAATTTGATGAATTTGTATGGCTCGTGCTGTCATATCGTCATCTCGGTTGTCTTCGAAAGCTGCACCACGGGCGACATTACTTGCTCCAAAACCTTTCCCCCTTAGGCAAAGGCCGAAGTGTCGGCCATTAAGGGCCCGTAAGGCCCTGACCCCAGAGAATTCCCTTCGCCTTGGGATGTTCCCCCTTTGACTAACAGTCTTGAACGGGGATTCTACTAGGGGGTTCTACAGTCCCGACTAAAGACTGTTAGTATGGGGGCATTTTCCAAAATAGGGTACCCCTGTTAAACTCCAAATAGAACAAGAATCCCCTTAAAGGGATCCCCCAAGAAGGGTGCCCCTTTTTTCGCTAAACCCTAAACCCTAAACCCTAAACCCTAAACCCTAAACCCTAAACCCTAAACCCTAAACCCTAAACCCTAAACCCTAAACCCTAAACCCTAAACCCTAAACCCTAAACCCTAAACCCTAAACCCTAAACCCTAAACCCTAAAAACCCTAAACCCTAAACCCTAAACCCTAAACCCAACCCTAAACCCCTAAACCCTAAACCCTAAACCCTAAACCCTAAACCCTAAACCCTAAACCCTAAACCCTAAACCCTAAACCCTAAACCCTAAACCCTAAACCCCAAACCCCAAACCCTAAACCCTAAACCCTAAACCCTAAACTCCTGTGCCTTGTCAGGGCGGGGCGTGGAAAGGACATGTCAGCCGCTCGGCCGAGCTGGCCCCGCACCCTGCGCCCACCTTCACTTTTGTTGAGAAATGTTCGGTATTCACTGTATAATCAAAGATGTGTGTGAAGTGCAGTAACCTGACTATGGATCAGACCTTGGGATAATCAAAAGTATTGATCATGTTTGCTATAATATGCAGATTATATATGTATATGTATATAACTATATGTATATATAGGAGGACATATATATGTACATGCATATATACATATATGTGCGATGTAAAGTTGAGATGATAGCCAGTAGCAGTGGCAGTGGCAGTAGCAGTAGCAGCAACAGTAGCAGTCGCAGTCGCTAGTCGCCGTCGTCGTCGTCGTCGGTCGTAGGTGTAGCAGTCTTCGTGCTGGTTTTTGTGTCCGTTGTAGAGTTGAGGGTTCAAGACGCGAAGTGCGAAGCCTGTTCTAAATACACACACATGTATCTGTATCTGTATCTGTTTCTGTATCTGTATCTACATATATAGAGATAGATGGATACAGACAGAGATATAGATATAGACATAGATATAGATATAGATATAGATGTAGATGTAGATATAGATATAGATATAGATGTTCATATAGATATTCATAATATACGCTCTATAAAGCATACACCACATCATACGCAGTGTCCTTGTACACGTATAAAATATATGTATGTATAATGTAGTATATAACGTACGCGATATAATCATCTAGGCACTGGGAAAGTGAGCGACCCCAGGCCTTCGACCAGGACGATCTCGGGAATATGCACAAGTGGCTGGAGGAGTGGTCAGGGTTTAGGGTTTAGGGTTTAGGGTTTAGGGTTTAGGGTTTAGGGTTTAGGGTTTAGTGTTTAGCTTTTCGGGTTTAGGGTTTAGGGTTTAGGGTTTAGGGCTTAGGGTTACTAGGAGGTTAGGGTTTAGGATTTGGGCAATGATGTAGGATAGGATCCCATTCGCCTGAAAAGGGCGGGGGGTGGGGGTGGGTTTCCAAGGTTTCCAGGGTTTGGGGCTCAGAAATTCCCTGAGCCCAGGAAGGAGGGGGGAAATTTCTGGTTCCTGAATTCCCCACCGCGAGGGCCTGGCGGCCAATTTTCCAGCTGCGCAGACGCTTGGCAAGACCACGACGGGCACCTTCCCCCTTCTCAAGCTCTAGCCGACACCCCTGGCCCCCTAAGCCCAAAACCCTGCACCCTTGTAGCAGCCCGCTTCGTAAACGGGGGTTCAAGGTGAAGGACTTCGGCCTTTGCTAGGGTTTCCCCGGGTTTTCAGGAGAATTTGGGGGTGTGAGATCTGGACTTCAAGGCATTAAGGCGTAAGGCTTAGGGGCTTCAGGTTTCAGGGTACCAGGATCTAGTGGCCCTGGGGTTTCAGAAGGCCAGCCTCTGCTTGGGCAAAATCTCACCGAGGTTGCAGCGGAACTTGCAATCACCCAAACAAGCCTGAACCCCTGATATCTGAACTCTTAGCGCCGAACCCCTAAACCCCAAACCTTAAACCTTACACCCTAAACCATATAACCCTACAACCTTAAACCCTACCCTGAGTCCCCCGGAGCGGAGGAACGAGCTCAAGGACTTGCTGGCGCAGGTGCAGGCGGCGAAGAGCTACCACAAGGACCTCTGCGTCAGCTCCGTGGTGGCACAGTCCAGAACCTCTGACGCCAGGTTTTCGCTTTTTGGGTTTAGGGTTTAGGGTTTAGGGTTTAGGGTTTGGGGTTTAGGGTTTAGGGTTTAGGGTTACACCCTAAACCCTATACCCTAAATCCTAAACCCTAAACCCTAACCCCTCTATACCCTAAACCCTACAACCAACTCTCTACGCCGTGGTGGCTTTAGGGCCACTGTTCTTCTTTGGGCCCCTGTGTGTGGCGCTCGAAAGTACGCGGAGGTGCATGGATACTTAGAAGCAGGGCTCTAAGTTCCCTAAACGGTTTAGGTTTAGGTGTTTTTTCCGTAGCCGCCACACCGCACCCTTCTTGAAACAACCCTGAGGGTTTGGGAGGGTTGAAGACTTAGTAGCTGAGTGAGTACACTTTGCACTTTTCGGGATACTATAATCCCCTCTAGAACTGAAAGTGTACACTTTTTTGGGGCTTCTGAACTCAGCAAGTAAGAAGAGGGCTTAGTGGGGGGGCATGGAAGTCTCCAAGCGCGCTGCTCGAAGTCGGTTCGGCTGAGGCGACTGGCTCCACTCGGTTGCTGCCATCGAGGCCCGGATGCTAAACATGTCCTGGAATCGGGGCCCTAGGGTTTAGGGTTTAGGGTTTTCGGGTTTTCGGGTTTAGGGGTTTAGGGTTTAGGGTTTAGGGTTTAGGGTTTAGGGTTTAGGGTTTAGGGTTTAGGGTTTAGGGAGCCTGGAACCGAAGCTTAATGAAGTACCGTGCAAGTCCTTCAAGTAACCTATGCATTCAGCACCTTTGCTGTTTACCATCGTTTGTGTTCCTGCTGCTGTTGTTACTTCTTCCATGTCGAGTTTAAGGTATTCCGAAATTTAGCATTCTTACTCTGAATGTTGCCAGGTTTACTTTGACGAGGCTTGTTGCTATGTTTCTTCCGATGTCGGTTGCTTCGACCCCCAACATTCTGGAAGCCCAAGAGAAGTGTGGGCTCGCGTCCTTGTGGTGTTCAGAACTGCCGATGGCACAGGGTTAATCTCGAACTTAATGCTCGCAGAATGTCGAAATTTGAATGACGGCTGGAAACCATTGGGCGGGGGGATGTGCTTATCCCAGCTACAGACAAGCTTAAGTAATCATCCCTTCGGCGGAATCCCGACCACGAAGGAACTTGAGGAGTAATCGCTGACCTCAACGGTTGAAATGCTCATTCTCAACTCTGGGAATGGTCCATTTATACTTTCGGCTTTTGGTACGAAAACTTGGTAGTTTCCACCAAGCATGAGGTATCAGTTTGAAGGCCTTATAACCCTAAAACCTAAACCCTAAACCCTAAACCCTAAACCCTAATATTTTGAACACAACAAGTTTAAAAGGATTTTTTCGTTCAGGGACCCTAAGCCCTAAACCTGTTTGCCCTGAACCCTGGGCTGAAGTTCAGTAGGAAATAGAGGGAAATAGAGGTTTAGGGTTTAGGGTTTAGGGTTTAGGGTTTAGGGTCTAGGGTTTAGGGTTTAGGGTTTGGGGACCTAGGGTTTGGGGACCTAGGTCCGGATTGAAGTTCAATCCTGAGGACGGAGCGGATATTCCAGTTTGGATTGAGTTTGAGTTTAGAGTTTAGGGTTTAGGGTTTAGGGTTTAGGGTTTGGGGTTTAGGGTTTAGGGTTTAGGGTTTAGTGTTTGGGGTTTAGGGTTTGAATTTAGCAGCCTGAACGTTGCTGCAAAAAGCTTCAGAACCTGAGTAGAGTGTGGGGCTGCATTCCTTTATGTTCTCTCGCCGGCCCCTCATGAGTACGAAGACAGTGACAACCTAAGGCCCTAAACCCTAAACCCTAAACCATTAACACGGCCAGGCGCTGGGAGAGTAGTGTGCCCCGTAGAAGCACCATTCCAGCCCAGAACCCACTGAACTGGGGGGTTAGGGCCCAGAGTCTAGGGCGTAGGGTTGCGTAGGCTCCCAAACCCTAAGCCCTAAACCAAGCATCCTAAGCGCGACATTCTGCCCAGGCGGTTCTTGGGACGTCACCCCCGACGGCTCCAGGCAGTTGCACGACAGACACCTGCCGAGCCATGGGGCGGCATTTGGGAGCTGTTGTGTCTGTGGGTTTGGGCTTCTTGGGTTTGGGGTTTCGGCTCCTTCGTGGGCTTTAAGGGCTTTGGGGTTTCAAGGGGTGTTTAGGAGGTAGAGTTGCAGGGCAGGGCAGGGCATTAGGGGTTTTAGGGTTTCTGAGGTTAGGAGCTGGACAGCCCATCATCACACCTAGCAACCTGCACAGCAACTCTGGTGGACATAGGTTCCTTTACCAGCCGGCTGCCCGAGTGCCCCTGAACCCCCTACCCCCTGAATTCTGAACCCCTGAAGCCCTGAACCCCTGAAGCCCTGAACCCCTGAACCCCTGAACCCTTGAACCCCGAACCCCTGAACCCTGAACCCCTGAACCCTGGAACCCTGGAACCCTTGAACCCTTGAACCCTTGAATCCTGAATCCTGAACCCTGGAACCCTCAACCCTAAACCCTAAACCCTAAACCCTAAACCCTAAACCCTAAACCCTAAACCCTAAACCCTAAACCCTAAACCCTAAACCCTAAACCCTAAACCCTAAACCCTAAACCCTAAACAGGGAGGTGGTTACGAACGCTTGAACCCTTGCAACCCTGAACCCTTGAACCCCTGAACCCCTGAACCCCTGAATCCTGAATCCTGAACCCTAAGCTTGCAAGCGCGCCGCTGACCACACCCCGCATCGCCCGGCGGGCCGTTTAGCTTTGGTGCTGAGCGTTAGGGCTGAGGGTTCAAGGGTTCAAGGGTTCAAGGGTTCAAGGGTTCAAGGGTTCAAGGGTTCAAGGGTTCAAGGGTTCAAGGGTTCAAGGGTTCAAGGGTTCAAGGGTTCAAGGGTTCAAGGGCTCAAGGGTTCAAGGGTTCAAGGGTTCAAGGTTTAGGGTTTAGGGTTGAGGGTTTTCGGTTTAGGGGGGGGTTTAGGGTTTCGGGTTTAGTTAGGGGTTTGGACTCTAAAGCCCTAAGCCCTTGTAGGCTTAATCTGATCCCATCGTCCAGGTGTGGACTCTCTTCCACTTCATGTCTCTGGCCAAACGCCACAACGTTACTGGCGCAGTCTCAGCGCAGGCCCAAGCCCAAACCCCTCGAAACCCAGCCCTTGACCGTACAAGCCCTATTCATTCGGGTTAGTTTAGGGTGCAAGTCTGAAAGCCGCGAAACCCTGTAGTCCCTGATTACCCTAAACAATCTGCCCCATTTTTCAATAACCTCCCCCCCCCCCCCCCCCCCCCAACTCCTCAAACCCCTAACCCTCTGCTGAACCCCTGAACCCCTGAACCCCCCGAACCCCAAAACCCTATCTGCAACCCTGCGACGCCCTACGCCTACATCCTAGAACCCTGGAGGCCTGAACCAGAACCCTAAACCTAGAACCCTGAACCTAGAACCCTAAACCCAGAACCCAAACCCTAAACCCTAAACCCTAAGCCCTAAGCCCCAAGCCCTAAGCCCGAAGCCCTAAGCCCCAAGCCCTAAGCCCTAAGCCCTCAACCCTAAACCCTACACCCTAGACCCTGCACCCTAGACCCTAGACCCTAGACCCTAGACCCTAGACCCTAGACCCTAAACCCTAATCCCAAAACCCTAAACCCTAAACCCTAAACCCTATACCCTAAACCCTAATCCCTAAACCCTAAACCCTATGAGTCCTAAGCCAGGAAACGGTGGAGAGCATCACGGCCTTCATCACCGCGTTCTTCCGCTGCGAGCACTGCCGCAAACATGCGTTGGAACAGCTGGGCCCAGGGCCCCAGCTCGTTTAGGGTTTAGGGTTTGGGGTTTAGGGTTTACGGTTTGGGGTTTAGGGTGTAGGGTTTGGGGTTTAGGGTTCAGGGTTTTGGGTTCAGGGTTCGGGGTTTGAGGTTTATGCGGTTTAAGGGTTTAGGGTTTAGGGGCTCAGGGGTTAGGGTTTGGGGTTTAAGGGTTTAGGGTTGAGGGTTCGGGGTTCAGCACTCAAGCCTGAAGTTCCAAGCTCCTAGCCCCGACCCCCCCCCCCCCCCCGCGAAAAAAAGAGAATAAATGTAATTCCATCAGTACATATACATATACGTATATCAACACCTCAAGCACAAGGGGGGGGTAAGATTTAGAGCAACCCGTCGCTCAACCCTGCACCCGGAACTATTCACCCTGAATGCGCCAAAGCGTGTCTCAATGTGGGTACTTCCCATAATCGGGTGACCCCTAGAGCCCCAAAGTAGGAAACCCGTATAGGAATCCGCCAAAAAACACAAAAAAGGCACTCCTGGTTTAGGAAACCCCCGTGTGAGGTGCAAAAGCCTATGGCCAAGAGGAGATGATACAAAAGGGGGCGGATGGTCTCCCTGCACCCAGATGGCAAAGGTTAGTCAAGGTTTGGGGGGGTTTTGGAGGATCCCTCTGCGGGGTCTCTCTGTTGAGCCTTCTAGGGCTCATTTAGTCCCACCAAGGTGTGGGTGCATTTCGACTAAGTGCTGAGGGCTGTTTGTTTACCCTCAACCCTAAACCCTACACCCTAAAACCTAAGCCCTAAACCCTGTGACTCTCAATAGCAAGGTCCTGATTTCAGGGCCCAGCTATAGGTGCCTTGAAGCCCGACATCCTCAAGCAAAGCCTCCCCAAAACAAGAAGTTTGAGTCAATATCCGGGTACTGACTGAGTAGAGGCAAAGAAGCAAAAGGAACAACATTTTCCGAAGCTTGTCATGCTCCATGCCTCCCCTGTCACCGGTGTCTGCCGGACCTCGCCTGATCCCCGCAACCCAAACCCCCAGCCTGGTGGCTACTGCTGAGCCCACCCAAACCTACCCTGCGACATCGCTCCCGTATTTTGAGACTTTACATCCCTTGCCCATCCCCCAACAGAACATCTGTAAATAGCCCCTTGTCAGAGATAATGTCTGCCACCATCTCATGAGACAGCAACAATGGATTTCCAAATTTATCATCCTGCCAGCATCCCCCTCTTAACCACTAGTGCTTGCTACTTTTAAGGAGCTTGCCAAGTAAATCCCGGGCATCGTTTCCGAGAACCATGACTGGCGACCCTCCATACTTTTAGGGGTTTTAGGATCTTAGGGTTTTAGGGGTTTTACGGTTTAGGGTAACCTTCAAACTAGCCAGACATCGTACGACAGTAGCTCAACATGCTCTCAAAAGCCAAGATCTACCTCTGGCGCTTCCACAACGCGGTCTCCGTGCGAATTGCAGCAGAAGGTAGCTGTCCAGGCAGGCGGATTTTCCCGCCCCTAAGCCCTCCACCCACCCTAAACCATGAGGATTCTTGAGGGTTGGTGGGGATCCCAGCAGACTATCTAGAACCTCGACCCCCAGCCCTGAACCCCTCGACCCCACTAAACCCCCCCGAACTCCGGAAAAAACGCCTAGATCTCTGAACTCTAAACGGGTGTAAGGCATGCCAATGAACAAGCTAGCAATAATCATGGTACACCAGCGGGAGTCATGTTAACGGCCACCTGAATACTAGTGACCGTAGGAATAATACAAAGCAACAGGTCGAAGAGCAATGGTAGTAGTCATCCTAGTGAGTCATAAAGAATGAGCCCCTGGACAAATCCCCAAGCTGCTGAGTGTGGCTCAAGTGTGCAGACCATAAACCCTAAACCCTAAACCCTAAGCCCTCAGCCCAAAGCCCGAAACCCTAAACCCTAAACCCTAAATCCTGGACCGTAATTCATTTCTTAGGTTTCGTTTAGAAGGGTTCAGAACCTTGAGCCCTGAACCCTAAAGTCCACGACGTCCACGCCTGGAAAGGCGATCGGCGCTGGCCTCCCCCGGATCTCTGCGCCCCGGACCGGGTTTAGGGTTTAGGGTTTAGAGGTATAGGGTTTAGGGTTTAGGGTTTAGAGGTATAGGGTATAGGGTTTAGGGTTTAGGGTTTAGAGGTGTAGGGTATAATTAGGGTTTAGGGTTTAGGGTTTAGGGTTTAGGGGTTAGGGGTTAGGGTTTAGGGTTTAGGGTTTAGGTTTAGGGTTTAGAGTTGGGGTTTAGGGTTTAGGGTTTAGGGTTTACGGTTTAGGATTTAGGGTTTAGGATTTAGGGTTTAGGGTTTAGGGTTTAGGGTTTAGGGTTTAGGGTTTAGGGGTTAGGGGTTAGGGGTTAGGGGTTTAGGGTTTAGGGTTTAGGGTTTAGGGCATTCCGTGTTTCGAGCTGACCTGCACTCGACCCCACTGGTAGAGCGGTGCAGCCTACCTTAAACCCTAAATCCTTCTTTCCGACACGCCCTCCCTCCCTAGCAACCCAAATCGAGACACCAAAGCCCTCAATCTTAGGATTCGCACTGTTCATGGAAAGATATCTCGCCCAAAAGCCCTAACCCCCTTAAACTCCCTAAACACCCTAAAGCCTAAACCCTGCTAAACCCTAAACTCTAAGCCCTAGGCCCTAAGCCCTAAGCCCTAAACCCTAAACCCTAAATCCTAAACCCTAAACCCTAAACCCTAAGCCCTAAACCCTAAACCCTAAGAAAACCCCAGCCACGGAGCCCTCCCACTTCGAGGCCCCGCCTGTTGGTCCAAGTCTGAGGAGGAGACAGAGGGGTTGCGGCTTGCATCCCTTGAGGGTTTAGGGTTTAGGGTTTAGGGTTTAGGGTTTAGGGTTTAGGGTTTAGGGTTTAGGGTTTAGGGAGTTTGGGGTTTAGGGTTTAGGGGTTAGGGCTTGGGGTTTAGGGGTTTAGGGTTGCCGCTTGCAACCCCTAAACCCTAAAACCCTCAAGGGACTAGGCTTCAGGGTTTTACCAGGGCTTAGGGTTTTCTTAGGGTTTAGGGTTTTAAATTTAGGGGTTAGGGTTAAAGTAGGGTTTAGGTTTACGGTTTAGGGCTTAGGGTTTCGTAAGTTTGGGGTTTAGGTTTAAGTGTAACAGCTGCCCACTGGCCAGGAGTGGGACGTCCTCTATGAGGCCAAGCAGATCTTCTCGGAGCGAGCGGGGGGAGGCCAGTTGGGTAGCGAAGGGGGGAGGCCTATCAACCCTAAACCCTAAACCCTGAACCCGAAACCCTAAACCCCAAACCCGAAACCTAAACCCTAAACCCGAAACCCTAAACCCTAAACCCTAAGCCCGGAAGGTTCCTTTTACAGCCATCTGCTGGAGGTTTGAATGCCGGCGGAGCTATTCCTGACGAAGTGAAGGTGCTGCTTGGATGCTTCCCTGGCGTCGTGGTGTGGAGCGTGAGTCATAAAGGGTTTAGGGTTTAGGGTTTAGGGTTTAAGGAGTCTGAGCCAAGGTACTTACCAGGGTTTAGGGTTGAGAGTTTAGGGTTTAGGGTCCATACCGGTCACTCTTTATTAAATTCCGTTCGAGCACGAAACTGTAGAATAAGCTGCGTGCCCAGAGTAGCGTATTCTTGCTAACTAGGCCTCTATATGCAGCTGAGGGTGCGAGTTCGGGGAAATCGTTAAGACCCTGCCGAAACCCTCAACTCTGAACCCTGGGGCCTGGGGTTTAGGGTTTACGGTTCAGGGTGGGTTTAGGGTTCAGGGTATAGGTTATAGGGCTGAGGCTGTAGGGTTTAGTAGTTTAGGGTTTAGGGTTTTGGGTTTAGGGTTTAGGGTTTAGGGCCCTAAGCCCTAAACTGCAGACACCCAGACGGGCCCAGCCGCACTTTGAGGCTCGAGTTCCTGGACAAGGCCTTTGGCCTGAGCTGAGCTGCAGCGTTCAGGGTTGGGGGTTTAGGGTTTCGGGCTTGGGGTTTAGGGTGTTAGGGTTTTCGGGTTTTGGAGAGGGTGCTCGGTTGTAGGGTTTGGGTTGCTAGGGCTTTGGATGAGAGGTTAGAGGGGTCGGGTGAGAGTTTGCCAGCAGCGGCTCGAAGTGAAGACCATTCGGCTGCGCGGGAGCTTTCAAAAAGCCGCGCGCAGCTGCCATCGGACCAGTCTGCCCGGCGCCACAGAAACCACAAAGCCATAAAGCGTTGCGGGATGCAGGTTCAACCCGAACCCTAAACCCTAAACCCGAACCCGAAACCCTCAGTTCCCTCCTTTTTGTGCTATTGGTGGACTGATACACCGAACCTTGGACCCTAAACCCTAAATCCTAAGGTGTTCCCTCCTCTGTCTGTTCTTGGTGGGCTTTTAGGAAGACTTTTCTGGCAAGTCCTTAGCCTGGTTTTTTGGTGAACAGGGGGTTTGAAGGTGAGCCGAACCCTTCACCCACTTGCATCCCAATGACCACTAGAATATCCGGGTGTAGGGCTTTGAGGTATTCCCTACACCCTAAAGACCCCAAACACTACAAACTTCATAACCCACATAATCCTCAAAAACCTGAAAATTTACCAAGCACCGAGGCCCTGGGCTTCTCAAGCCCTGAGCCCAAAACAAGGTCTACGGGCTTTTCTGCGGGGCACAAGATGTAGGGTCATGTAGGGCCCTGCTGATGTTTCAATGAGGTAGTTTAACTTCTGACCCTAAACCCTAAACCCAAAACCCAAAACCCTAAATGACAGGGTCTAGAAGGAGGTCGCAGCGGCGGTTTTAGCTGAGATAGGCTCCAGTGCTAGGGGTCTTGGTCTTGCTCCGTGGCGCCTTCGCGGCTTCATATATCATGGCACTCATTCAGTCTAGGGTTTAGGGTTTAGGGTTTAGGGTTTAGGGTTTAGGGTTTAGGGTTTAGGGTTTAGGGTTTAGGGTTTAGGGTTTAGGGTTTAGGGTTTAGGGTTTAGGGTTTAGGGTTTAGGGTTTAGGGTTTAGGAGGGTTTAGGAGGGTTTAGGGTTTCGGGGTTTCGGGTTCAGGGTCCCAGGTATGGTGCTTCGGCCTGGGGTTCCTTATGCTTTTTTTTCATTCCTCGGTTGCTCTGGTGCGGCAAGACTCTCATGAATCTGCAGCCCAGGCCCAGGGCTACGCCGACGAACTTAAGCAGCCGGGCCCCCCGATTTTTTTTGGGGTTCAGGCGCTTTAGGGTTTAGGGTTAAGGGTTTAGGGTTTAGAGTTTAGAGTTTTAGGGCTCAGGGGGTGTGGGGTTTAGGGCTTGGAGGGTTTCGTGCCTGGGGGGTTTAGGGTTTAGGGCTTATGGGGGTTCAGGGTTTAGGGCTTATGGGGTTCAGGGTTTAGGGTTTAGGGTGGAGGGCAAGCCCTGCCTTCTTGTCTTCGAATCCCCTGGAGTATGTTTCCGGTTGTTTCGGTTGGTTTTCTTCGAACCCACTTTGCATGCAAGCCTGGAAGCTACGATGTGCTAACTGCCATCACACACGTGCATATTCCGGCTGGATTTCAGGCGCGAGAGACGTATGGGGAGCGGCGGGACGGGCCGCGCTTGAGAAAGCTCGTAAGCCAGGAGGGTGGAAGCCGGGCTGCGTCCCCAGTATGCCGACCAAAGTCTCACAGAGTGTAATGTGGGCACAGGCTGCCCCGGGAACCACACCCACTTTCAGGATCGATGCGAGATATGTGCAGATCCCAGATCACGACTCCTCAGGGGCCCCGTTGGACGGCTGTGCCAGTGCTAAAAAAGGGAAGCAGGGAGAAAGCATATATGCGAGCCCTGGCGCTGAAACCCCGATGTGAGTTACTAGCTGAAACGTCTGTCCGCACTCATTCACCCGCCATCTTTCGAATCCCCAGGTAGAGTTTGGGCAGAGGCGAAGAAGCGTGAGGAAAACGTCACTCGACCCTTACCCTATATCCTACAACTCCCTTTATGTTAGAGAATACACGAGCTGTGTTTGGGAAAGGGCCTAAACCAACAACACGAGCAACCAATACGAAGCGACAGCAAAATCCCGAAAACATGTGGGGCTTTTAGCGCGCACGATCTTGGGATGGGCTCTCGGGGTGTTGGAGCTTGGGTCTTTCGACTCAGAAACATCCTCTGGCGATAGGTTCTTTGGGTAAGATTCAAGATGGTCGCAGTGGCGGGGAGATCCAACTGGAATAGCGCAGCAACTGCAGAGAAGTGCGTGCAGCGCAAGAGCATTCCATCGGCGAAGAGTCGTGCTCTTAATGCTGGTCCGCCACAATGGCTTCTCCACAGCCCAGGCGTTGCAGGCAAGAAAGGAGCCTATCGACCTTGAGAGAACCCCTCAGCCCTTCAGCCTTGAAGCCTAGGCCCTCAACCTTAAACCCCCTAAACCCTAAACCCCAAACCCTAAACCCTAAACCCCGATTCCTAAACGCCCTAAACCCTAAACCCCATGAGCACACGCGCGCTGAGGCTCGAAGGCATGGGCTTCGCCCCAGACTTGGCCGAAGTCGCGCTTCTTCAGGCCGAAGACCGTTTTAAGTACGGCTAGACCCTTTTGCCCCAAACCCTAAACCCTAAACCCTAAACCCTAAACCCTAAACCCTAAACCCTAAACCCTAAACCCTAAACCCTAAACCCCAAAACCCCAAACCCTGAACCCTAAACCCCCAAGCCCAGCACTGCACTTGCAACCAGGATCATGACTCCGGCTTCGCAGCCAGCAGCCCTCGAAGAAAAGGCCCCCAAAACCGATCCACAAAGTCCTGTGAAGAAAGGAGGAGTTGAAGTGGACTCCTGGGTTTAGGGTTTAGGGTTTGGGGTTTAGGGTTTAGGGGTTTGGGGTTTGGGGTTTGGAGTTTAAATCCTCCAGGACCCGGATTCACAACCCTCGCTGAAGCCCCGATCCCTCAACACCTTGCAACACCGTAAGGCCCAAACCCTAAATCCACCCTGATTCTCTTAAACGGCCCTAAAGCCCCAAACCCGAAACCCTAAACCCGAAACCCCAAAAACATTTCCTCGCAGAGCGGCGGCGACCTCTCGGGCGCCCTGGCGCTGCTCTGCGGCGAGGGCTCGGTTGGCTCGAGGTGGCGGAGGGTTTTCTTTGCCTTAAGAGGATCGGGCGGGGGCTGAATAAGTCGGGTCGCTTAGTGAAATGGCCTCAATCAAGGCATCTTTTCTGTCAGATTTTGGAAGCTGCTTCTGTGGTTTCCACCGTTTTGGAGCTTCGCGATCGTGTGGTGCCGTCTCTGTGGACGGCTTAACTCCGGCTTCAACTCCCTTCCCGAAAAGTGCTTGAAACCGATGTTTAGGCTTACATTCGCTGCGCTTCAGTTAGCCCTTTTCGGATGCCAAAGAACAGGAGAAGAGAGACAGAAGGGTCCAGAGGGTGTAATGTGAGGACTTGAGTATGTGGAGTTGAGGTGTTGTAGGGTGTGGGCTATGAAGGGTGCGTGCTAGTCTTTCGGGCGCGGGCGGCTTTTGGACATGCTTTGGGAGGAGTTAGGGTGTTTGTAGCTTTAGGTTGTAGGGCGCAAAGCAATTTTTGGTTCAGTAGCAGTGCACTTGGTATTCGTCATATGGCTGCTCAAAGAGGCCCAAAGCTTTGGCATCATGACATCTGCTTTCCAGCCCCATACGCTTCATCACCATGTCAGTAGCAATTGGCCTCTCAGGCAAAGACCCAGACACCAAAGCCACACTGCCCCACACTGCCACGCACTGCCCCATACTGCCCCATACTGCCCCATACTGCCCCATACTGCCCCAATACTGCCCCAATACTGCCCCATACCAGAATGTCCGGAATTCGTATACACTCCGTTGATGCAAAAGAAGGCGCCCCTGGATTACTGGGTCACCAAGCATGAAGTTGTTGAGTCAGTGAGGGTTCAGGCAAAAGGGGGACTAAGGGTTTAGGGTCCCAAACCCAAGACCTACACCCTAAACCCTAAACCCTAAACCCTAAACCCTAAACCCTAAGCCCGTACGCATCCCGAAACCAGACTCGTGCGTTGCGCGAAAGCGCCTGTCAGGCCTGCTGAGGAGGAAGCCGAATGGGCTCGTGGGCTACTGGTATGTTCATTGAGTAGTTCGGACGTGCCCTAACTGAGGTTTTCAAGAAACCTAAGTGCCACTACTAAAAGGTTTTAAGAAGCCTAAGTACTCCAAACAAACGCAAAAACTGTTTTGAGTGAGCAACAGGGGCTCCTTCCCCAAGGCATCTTACGAGAAGCACAGAGGGATTTTGGTGTCCCAAGTAAAGGAAGACCCTAAGCCCCTTAAGGCCCCTAGAAGCCCACAGAGATGGATCCTAAACCCTCATCCCTAAGCCCTAACCCTTGACCGAAAACCCTCAGCCCCAAACCCTCGCACCTAAACCCCTAAACCCTAAACCCAACCCTAAAGGTTCAGCAGGGTCTTGGTTGTGGTCTTCAAGTTTCGTTCATCACTTGCAGTCTTGGGGGTTGGATTTAGACTACACGTCTGAAGCTTGTTTAGGGGGTTGAGGGTGCTTGGGGGGCAGGGCTCTTGGTTTTCGTGAGTTTTGCTGCATGTGCAGGCCTGTGCTTGCAGCAGTGTCTAACATTCCTTCTGGGACAGGCAGCGGAAAGACCAGACGCATAGATGCCCGTCTCTCTTGGATCCAAGAGAAAGAAGGTGCGAGCAAAGGCGCTTGAGTTGAAAGCAGTGCCAGGTGTGATCAAACCCTGCTGGTGTTGTTGTGAAAGTCATGACCGAGCACCATCTGCGTGCATTTGTGGTGGGAGCCCAGATGCGCAAGTCCCTGGTGCTCCAGCTCCTCCCTCTTTCCCGAAGGAGAACTTGACACACGAAGCAGAGCCGCGAACCCAGAAATCCCAAGTCTCTGAACTTCCTGAAGGCGGTTTAGGGCTTCGGCCTCAGGGTTTAGGATAAAACCCCCCTAAGTCACCCTAAACCCTGAACCCTAAACCCTAAACCTGAAAC